GGAGAGGAGAGGAGAGGAGAGGAGAGGAGAGGAGAGGAGAGGAGAGGGAAAGGAAAGGAAGAAGAAAGAGAGAGAAAGAGCGAGAGAAAGAGAGAGGAAGGAAGGAAGGAGAGAAAGAAGGAAGGAAGGAAGGGAGGGAGGGAGGGAGGGAAGGAAGGAAATGTTAAAACAGTAAGGATATGATGAAAGGAATCCCGGAGCATCAGGAAGGAAGAAAGACTAATAGAAAGACCAGAAATATAGGCCGGGCACAGTGGCTCCACCTGTAATCCCAACACTTTGGGAGGCCGAGGTGGGTGGATCCCCTGAGGTCAGGAGTTCAAGACCAGCCTAGCCAACATGGCAAAACCCCATTTCTACTAAAAATACAACAATTCGCCGGGCGTAGTGGTGAGTGCCTGTAATCCCAGCTACTTGGGAGGCTGAGGCAGGAGAATTGCTTGAACCTGGGAGGTGGAGGCTGCATTAAGCCGAGATTACATCACTGCACTCCAGCCTGGACAACAGAGTGAGACTCTGTCTCAATTAAAAAAAAAAAAAAGAAAGGAGAGAAAAAAGAAAGGTAAGAAATATAAATATGGAGAAACTGGATCACTCATACATGTAAAGCCGTTCTGGAAAAATGTTTGGCAGTTTCTTATAAAACTAAATATGCTAGTACCATAAGACCCAGCAATTGTGCTCTTGACATTCATGACAGAGAAATGAAAACTTATATTTATCCAAAAACCAGTACAGGAATGTTCAGAGCAGTTTAGTCCTAATACCAAAGAGTGGAGAGGGGGGAAATAATGGCCTTCAATTGGTAAATGGTTAAAAACAACTACTGTATATCCAAACCATGGAAGATTATCAGAAAAAAAAAGAGGAACAGCTGATACACACAACAACCTGTATAAGTCTTTAGGGAATCACACTGACTGAAAACAAAACAAAAAAAAAAACCTACCTGCCATAAGATTCCCTTTATATTACACTCTTAAAGTCACAAAATTATAGAAGCCAGTGTTTGTCAGGAGCCAGGGAACAGTCAATGGGGAAGAAAATGGTGACCTGAGAGAGGTGGGGGTGGTTATCAAAGATGAGGCAGCCTGGTGGTGATGGAAATGTTCTGTCTTGACTGTGGTGGTGAGAATCAAACCTATTCATGGAAAAAAATTTGCAAAGAAAGAAATACAGATACACCCACAGATTATTATAACTAAAACTGGGGATATCTCAGTTATTTCTGTGTATTTTATCAATGTCAATATCCTGTTGTGTTAATTTACTATAGTTTTGTAAGATGGTATTGTTGGAAGAAAAGGGTAAAGCATAAAGGGGATCATTTCTATTATTTCTTACAAATACATGTGAATCTAAAATTATTTTAAAATAAAAATGGCTGGGCACAGTGGCTCACGCCTATAATCCCAGCACTTTGGGAGGCTGAGGAGGGCAGATCACCTAAGGTCAGGAGTTAGAGACCAGTCTGGCCTACATGGTGAAACCCCGCCTCTACTAAAACTACAAAAATTAGATGGGCATGGTGGCATGCCCTATAGTTCAAGCTACTTAGGAGGCTGAGGCAGGAGAATCTCTTGAACCCAGGAGGCGGAGGTTGCAGTGAGCCGAGACCACACCACTGCACTCCAGCCCGGGTGACAAAGTGAGACTCCATCTCAAAAAAATAAAAATAAAGTTTAATTTTAAAAATGAGCTGCTACAACTAGCTTGCATTAAGGATGTTAATCGATCCAGATTCAATAGTGTCACTTGTAATGCAGCATCTGAAACTCACCAAAATTAGGTGTGTAGCCGGCAGATAAAGAGGAAGAACATGGGCTGCTGCCATTTCCCAAAGAAATTGGGTAATTCATTGTCTGAGGGTTGCTTTCCAGCCTGGTTTCTGCAATTGTTGGCATACCTACAGAAAGAACATTTTTCAATGGTTAGGAACTCTCAACCGTGAATTTATACATAGTGAAATTCTCCTTGAGTAATGATATGGTTTGGCTGTGTCCCCACCCAAATCTCACCTTGAATTGTATCTCCCAGAATTCCCACATGCTGTGGGAGGGACCCAGGGGGAGGTAATTGAACCATGGGGGCCAGTCTTTCCCATGCTATTCTTGTGATAGTGAATAAGTCTCATGAGATCTGATGGGCTTATCAGGGGTTTCTGCTTTTGCTTCTTCCTTATTTTTCTCTTGCCACTACCATGTAAGAAGTGCCTTTCACCTCCTGCCATTATTCTGAGGCCTCCCCAGCCATGTGGAACTATAAGTCCAATCAAACCTCTTTTTGTTCTCAGTTTTGGGTATGTCTTTATCAGCAGTGTGAAAACAAACTAATACGAGTAATTAACAGGCAATAAGGACATTCTCACATGAAGGAAAACTAGGATTACTTATCCCGCATAGACTTGCCCTTAAAGAAAGGCCAAAGGAAAATCTTTATGCAGAAAGGATATGATGAAAAAAATGGGTCTTTGGCCATCGGGAAGAAAGAAAGAAGAGAAAGAGCAGAAATATGCATGCAGAGAAATTAGATCACTCAGATATTACTGGTGAGGAGATAAAATGATACATCCCCGCCTTTCTGCCCATGGACTCCGCTGAAGAAGCATCGTTAAAGTCTCTCTTCTCTCTGCCATCATGTCTAAGTCAGAGTCTCCTAAAAAACCCCAACAACTGAGGAAGCTCTTCATTGGAGGGTTGAGCTTTAAAACAACCAATGAGAGCCTGTGAAGCCATTCTGAGCAATGGGGAATGCTCACGGACTGTGTGGTAATGAGAGATCCAAACACCAAGTGCTCCAGGGGCTTTGGGTTTGTCACATATGCCACTGTGGAGGAGGTGAATGCAGCCATGAATGCAAGGCCACACAAGGTGGACAGAGGAGTTTTGGAACCAAAGAGAGTTGTCTCAAGAGAAGATTCTTAAAGACCAGGTGCCCACTTAACTGTGAAAAAGATATTTGTTGGTGGCATTAATGAAGACACTGAATAACATCACCCAAGAGATTATTTTGAACAGTATGGAAAAATTGAAGTGATTGAAATCATGACTGACCGAGGCAGTGGCAAGAAAAGGGGTTTTGCTTTTGTAACCTTTGATGACCATGACTCCGTGGATAAGACTGTCATTCAGAAATACCATACTGTGAATGGCCACAACTGTGAAGTTAGGAAAGCCCTGTCAAAGCAAGAGATGGCTAGTGCTTCATCCAGCCAAAGAGGTCGAAGTGGTTCTGGAAACTTTGGTGGTGGTCGTGGAGGTGGTTTCAGTGGGAATGACAACTTTGATCGTGGAGGAAACTTCAGTCGTCATGGTGTCTTTGGTGGCAGCCATGGTGATGGTGGATATGGTAGCAGTGGGGATGGCTATAATGGATTTGGTAATGATGGAAGCAATTTTGGAGGTGGTGGAAGCTACAATGATTTTGGCAATTACAACAGTCTTCAAATTTTGGACCCATGAAGGGAGGAAATGTTGGAGGCAGAAGCTCTGGCCCCTATGGTAGTGGAGGCCAATACTTTGCCAAACCACGAAACCAAGGTGGCTATGGTGGTTCCAGTAGCAGCAGTAACTATGGCAGTGGCAGAAGATTTTAACTAGGAAACAAAACTTAGCAGGAGAGGAGAGCCAGAGAAGTGACAGGTAAGCTACAGGTGACAACAGATTTGTGAACTGAGCCAAGCACAGTGGTGGCAGGGCCTAGCTGCTATGAAGAAGACATGTTTTAGACAAATACTCACATGTATGGGCAAAAATTCGAGGGCTGTATTTGTGACTAATTGTATAACAGGTTATTTTAGTTCCTGTTCTGTGGAAAGTATAAAACATTCCAACAAAGAGTTTTAATGTAGATTTTATTTTCTTGCATCCATGCTGTTGATTGCTAAGTGTAATAGTCTGATCATTACACTGAATAAATGTCTTTTAAAAAAAAGATACAGCCCCTCTGAAAAAAAGTTTAGCATTTTCTTATAAAACTAAATATGAAGTACCATATAACCCAAAATTGCATGCAAACTTGTTTACACAAAAACCAGTACATAAATGTTCATAGAGCTTTACTTGTATTGACCAAAAATAGAAAACACCCCTGATGTCATTCAATGAATAAACAGATAAACAGTTATACATCACTACTATGGAATAGTACTCAACAATAAAAATGGAGGAACTATTGATGCATACAACAATTGGTATGAATCTCAAGAAAATTATGTTTAGTGAAAAAAAGCCATGCTCAAAAGGTTACACAGCATTTAGTTGCATTTAAGTAACAACATTCAAATAATGAAATTCTGGCAAGCAAAGTGAGATTGCTGACTATCAGTAGTTAAGATAGGGCAAGATGAGAGAGAAGGGAGATCGGGGGAGGTGGCTGTTGTTATAAAAGAACAATATAAAGGATCCTTGTAGTGATGATGGAAATGTTCTGTATTGTAACTAATAGTGGACATGTAAATTGACTCATGATTAAATTTCATAGAACTAAATACACACACACTGATGTAGACTTAATCAATGCCAATATCCTGGTTGCAGGATATAGTTCCTTAAGATGTTATCATTGAGGAAAATGGGTGAAGTACACATAGGATCTCTTTACAGTTTCTTACAACCACATGTGAATTCAAAATTATCTCAAAATAAAAAGGCTAGCTTTTTGGTTTTTTTTTTTTTTTTTAAAGAGCTATCACTGACTTGCATTCAGGATGTTGATGGAAAATAAACTCTCAGCCACAAATTCTATGCCCAGCAAAACTATCCTTAAAGAATGTTAGGAAAATAAAGACATTTTCAAATGCAGGAAAACTAAAGAAACCTGAAAGAAAGGCTGAAGAAAAGTATTCAAACAGAAAGGAATTGATGAAAAAAGAAAATATAGAGCATCCAGAAGGAAGAACAACAGAAATAACAGAAATATGAATGTGGAGAAACTGGATCACTCACGCATTGCTGGTGGAAATGGAAGATAATACAGACTCTCTGGAAAACTATTTGACAGTTTCTTATAAAACTAAACATGCTAGTACCATAAGGCTCAGCAATTACACTCATGGCATTCATGACAGAGAAATGAAAACTTATATTTACAGAAAAACCTGTTCATGACTGTTCATAGCGGCTTCACTCCTAATATCCAAAAACTGGAAAAAAACAATTTGATGCCTTTTCAATGGGTGAATGGCTAAACAAACTGTGGCATAGCCATACTATGAAATATAAATCAAAAATAAAAAGGAGGGTAGGCTGGGCATGGTGGCTCACGCCTGTAATCTCAGCACTTTGGGAGGACACGGCAGGCAGACGACTTGAGGTCAGGAGTCTGAGACCAGCCTGGCCAACATGGTGAAACTCTGTCTCTACCAAAACTACAAAAATTAGCTGGGCATGGTGGCACACACTTGTAATCCTAGCTATTTAGGAGGCTGAGGCATGAGAACTGCTTGAATCCAGGAGGCAGAAGTTGCAGTAAGCCAAGATCGCGCCACTGCACTCCAGCCTGGGCAACAGAGAAGACTATGTCTTTAAAAAAAAAAAAAAAAAAAAAAAAAGGAGGAAACTCCTGATACATGCAACAAGCTGGGTGAGTTTTCAGAGAACCATACTGAGTGAAAAACACCAATCCCCCAAAATTACATACTATAACATTCCCTTAATGTAACATTCTTGAAGTGACAAAATTATAAACAGAGAACAGATCAGTAGTTACCAGGTGTTAGGGATGGGGCAGGTTGAAAGGAAGGGATGACATGAGGAAAGTGAATGTGATTATCAAAGGGCAAGACGAGGCATCTTTGCAGTGATAGAAACGTTCTATGTCTTTGCCAGAGGTAGACATTAAAACTACCTGTGATAGAATTGCAAAGAACTAGACAGACAGACACAAATTAATTACAAGTAAACCTGAGGATATCTCAGTAAGATCTGTGGAGTGTATCAATGTCAATACCTTGGATGTGATATTTTACTATAGTTTTAAAGATGTTATCCTTTGGGGGAAATGGCTAAATCATAAACAGGTCTCTGCATTATTTCTTACAACTGTGTGTGAATCTAAAATTATCTCAAACTAAAAAGTTTAATTTGAAAAGAGTCACACTAGCTGACATTAAAAAACTGGTGAATCACGCTGGGCGCAGTGGCTCACGCCTGTAATCCCAGCACTTTGGAAGGTAGAGGCGGGCAGATCACCTGAGGTTGAGAGTTGGAGACCAACCTGACTAACATGGAGAAACCTCGTCTCTACAAAAAATACAAAAAAAACTAGCCAGGCGTGGTGGTGCATGCCTGTAATCCCAGCTACTCGGGAGGCTGAGGTAGGAGAATCACTTGAACCTGGGAGGCGGAGGTTGCAGTGAGCCAAGATCGAGCTATTGTATTCCAGCCTGGGCAATAAGAGCAAAACTCCATCTCAAAAAAAAAAAAAAAAAAAAAAAAAAAAAAAAAAAAAAAAAAAAAAAAAAAAACTAGCTGGCAAATCAAGATTAAATAATGCTATCTGCGTATTTCTTATTTATTTATTTATTTATTTATTTATTTATTTATTTATTTATTTATTTTAGACGGAGTTTCGCTCCTGTTGCCCAGGCTGGAGTTAAGTGGCACAATCTCAGCTCACTGCAACCTCCACCTCCAGGTTCAAGTGATTTTCCTGCCTCGGCCTCCTGAGTAGCTGGGATTACAGGTGCCCACCACCACGCCCAGCTAATTTTTTGTATTTTTAGTAGAGACGGGGTTTCACCATGTTGGTCAGGCTGGTCTCAAACTTCTGACGTCAGGTGATCTACCCGCCTCAGTCTCCCAAAGTGCTGGGATTACAGGTGTGAGCCACCATGCCCAGCATTATGTATCATGTCAAACTCACCAAAATAGGGAGGGATGAAGACAGATAAAGAGGCAGTATTTTGGCCACTGTAATTTCCCATTAAAGTTGGGTAATTCACTGTCTCAGTGCTGTTTTTACTGCTGTTTGCTGGTCTTTCTGGCATTTCTATAAATAAAAAGTTTTCAAGAGCTGTAATACAAGAACTTCACCCACAAATTCTATACCAAGCAAAATTATCCTTCAAGAAAGAAAGGGAAACAGACATTCACACACAAAGGAAAACAAAAAGAATTTGTTCCCAACAGACTTACCCTTAAAAAAGATTAAAGAAAACTCTTCAATCAAAAAAAAAAAAAAAAGAAAATGATGAAAGAATGAATCTTGGAGCATCAGGAAGAAAGAACAAAAGAAAGAGGAGAAATATGCATTCAGAGAAAATAGATCACCCATATATAGCTGGCAGGAATGTCAGATGGTACAGCCCCCCTGGAAAATAGTTAGGCAGTTTCTCATAAAACTAAACATGCATGTCCAAACTCATCACACTGGGTATAGTAAATATGTGCAGTTTTTTACTTATTAACTACTACGGTTTGAAGGTATCTTTTCCAAAATTCAGGTGTTGCCACTGTGATCATATTAAGAAATGGGACCTTTAAGAGATGATTAAGCTATGAGGGCTCCTCCCTCATGAATGGGATGGAGGCCCTTATAAAAGAGGCTTCACACAGCATTTTGAAATCTTACCCTTCTACCTTCTGCCATGTGAGGACACAGTGCTCCTCTCTTGCAGAGGATGCAGCCCTCACCAGACAGACGAACTGGCTGGCACCTTGCTCTTGAACTTCCCAGCCTCCGGAGCTGTGAGAAATTACATTTCTGTTCTTTTTCAATCACCCTGTCTATGGTATTTTGTTACAGCAACACAAACAGACCAAGACATTAATATATCAATAAAGATTTGTTTTTTAAAAAAACCTAAACATGCAATTAATATATAACCAGCAGTTGTACTCTTGGGTAATCATGTTAGAGAAATGAAAACTTCCATTTACACAAAAATTTGTATATGAATTTTCATAGCAGCCTTACTCCTAATAGTCAAAAACTGAAAAAATAGTTTCCTTCAATAGATGAATGGTTAAACCATGGTACACCTATACCATGGAATAGTACTTGGCAATAAAGGAACTACTGAAACACACAACTTGGTTGAGTCTCCAGGGGATTATGTTGAGTGAAAAAAAAAACAATACCAAAAGGTTACATACTATATGCATTCAATTAAGTGATAAAATTATAGAGATGGAGAAGAGATCACACTTGCCAAGGGTTAGGAATAGACAAGTGGGGAAAGGAAAAGGAGGATGGGTTTGGTTATAGAAGGGCAATACAAGCATACTTTCTGGTGATAGAACCGTTCTGTATCTTGACTATGATAGGAACATACAAACTTTCTCAAGTGACAAAATTGTTTTTAAAAAAGCCGAAAGTCAGACACACAAATGAATACAAACTGCAGCCTTATGAGATGTTACCACTGGGGAAAATTGGGGAAAGGGTATCTCTCTGTATTATTTCTTACAACTACATATGAATTTATAATGATTTCAAGATAAAACTTTTAATTTAAAAAACAGCTAACACTAATTTGCATGAAGGGTGTTTTAAAATCTAGATTGAAGAATGCTATCTGTAATATGTGTCATTTCAAACTCACCCAAATTGGGATGGATGCAGAAAGATGACAAGGCTCTACCTGGGCCCACATCTTCATTTTCCAGTAGAGCAGAGTAATTCACCACACCAGGGTTATTTGCCAGATTGGGTTCTCCTTGTGACAGACCTGCCATAGGTACTGCTGTAGTAGCATCGGCAAATGAGATGACAGCATGGGTACTTTCAGCACCTCCACTGATAAAGTTACATGGCATACCGAAACAAGGAAATGAGCCACCTTGTGTGACATACGGCTGTAATGAACGTGAGGAGACAATTCTGGGATATGATGAACTCTCACTGAGGTCTCCTTCCTGCAGTTCAGGACATGCTGCTGACTCAAGAGATGCTACAGCAGGGCTGGCCCAGGCATGGGTTTCCTGCCTTTCTGCTGGTGGTGGTGTGCTAGACTGTACCTATCCCGGGTAAGAGAACAGAATGAGTAAAGTTATTTTCTTCGGTTCCTAGACTTCAATTTTTCCATGAGACATACAATCAAAACTTTTTTGTGTAAATCCAGATGACCTCTAAAATGACACCAACCCAGTATAAATCAACTGTAACTTAAAATGAGGCTTAAAAAGTTGATTTTAAAAAAACATTCCTATGTATTTTCCTTGCAACATCATTTTCCATTGTTAAGGATAAATGCTGTACTTTGATTATATGATTTTTATTCTTCTTCAACCCTGCGTTTTATACATGATAATTACTAACATAAAAATACTAAGTGTTGTAATCTGTCAGACCTAAACTTCAGCATTCTTCCAAGGGAATTTTAGTCCCCCATCTGCTATTACAGTAAGTAGAGAAAAGCCTTGCTAATCTCAGAGTTACTAGTTCTCTATCAGTTCTAACTGATTGGTGTCTTTAGGAGCTAGAGGTTTATCAAAGTTGTAAAAATGTTTTTGTAACACACATTTTATCAAAGGTGGTTGCTCCCAAGAACACTGCACTTCTGAAACAGCTCCACAAAGATGGTCAACTTGCATAGTGGTATTTTCAATAAGATCTTCTACATTCTATTATACTTAAAAAATAGTAGTTCATATTTCAAAAGAAACATAACATATGTGAAAACGCCATTAAGTCAAATGTTAACTGCTAGACACAACAAAAGTTCTCAAGCCACCAGAAATGTCTTGCTCCTATTCGAGGCCTGGCTGTAGGTGACACAAAGCCAGCAGGCTGAGCTCAGGAGCCCCAATATCCCCTCTGCTGCTCTACCCCATGCAGGCACTAAGGATGCTCTAATGCCAGCAAATGAAAGTGCCGCTATGCCTCTACACCAGCACATTGATGATGAAGACACTGCACATCAAGGAAGGTGCTATTTTACGAAAGAAATCCTCAAATCTGCTAAAAGGCCAAAGACTCACTTTATAATGTTCATATGTAACATATATGTTCATCTATGTACAAATATGAAGTCGATATTATATACAGAGAGTGAGTGTTCCACTCCAGAAAGAATAGTAAGCCAAATATAACAGATGTGACTTTTGGCTTCAAACATTTTAAAATCATGCAGTCAACAACTAATCTTACAAAACCATTGAGTACACATCCCCTACGTGCCAATCAAGCATATATGACTGATACAAATCTGAGAATTCCTCTTGAAATACACAGAAACTTTGGGCAAAAAAAAAAATACACTTAAACAAAGGGCCAGAAACATTTCCTCATTCATTCATTCAACTAAACCTTTATTGACGGCCTACCATCTGGCAGAACTACTTTGCTATGTGTTGGAAACATGGACTGAAAGAAAGCTCCTAGCCGGGCACGGTGGCTCACGCCTGTAATCCCAGCACTTTGGGAGGCCGAGACAGGCGGATCACTTGAGCTCAGAAGTTCGAGACCAGCCTGAGCAATATGGCAGAACTCCATCTCTAACAAAAACAACAACAACAACAACAAAACCTCCGTTTCCGGAAAAAAAAAAAAAATACGAAAAAGTAGCCAGGCATGGTGGCATGCACCTGTAGTCCCAGATACTTGGGAGCCTGAGGTGGGAGAATCACCTGAGCCTGGGAAGTTGAGGATACAGTGAGCCACGACTGCACCACTGCACTCCTGCCTGGGCAATGGAATGAGACCCTGTCAAAAAAAAGCTCCTGTCCTAGAGGAACTACCATCTCAGCTGGGAGAGAGACAAGTAAAGAGAGGATTCCAATAGACAAAGTGATTAGCAGCCTGGAACAGTGGTTTGCAAAGTGGTCCACAGACCAGTAGCATCAACATCACCTGAAGCTCATTAGAAATGCCAAATTTCAGGCTGTACCCCAGACCTCTGGAGTCAGAAACTCTGAGAGTGGCAACAGTGGTCTATGTTTTCACAAGCCCCCAGGTGATTCTGATGCTCCCAGTAAGAAACACTGGGCTATGGCAATGAGGTAAATAGTGCAGGCTCTAGGGGAACATGGTTGGGGTCAAACACTAGAGTCCAGCCACTTATTGGCTGTGTGACCCTGGGCAAGTTACTTAACCTCTCTGTGCTTCAATGTCCTCATGTAGGGAATCGGAATGAAAATCTCTCTCAGGGTTCTCTTGAGGACAAGAACCTTGCTATAGTATTAGGTTAATATTAACAGTAACAACACTACACTATGCCCGGTCCAACAGTGCTCAGTGGTCTCTTCCTGTTACTATTGTTATTACCAGCACCATGACACAGACAGGAACAGGAGGCTAAGTGTGCACAGAAGAGTGGGCCTAACCCAGGCTGGCAGTCATGGAGAGCTTTTCAGAGGAGGTGAGGTCTGAAGTGAGAATTAAAAACATGAGAAGGTGCTCTCCAGGTGAGGATGCATGGAAGGGTTTACAGGGTAGAAGAAACAGTAGGTTCAAAAATACCCAGAGAGAAAAACAGGAAGCCAGATGTAAAGACAGCAAGTATGAATGACATTCCAGGAGCGGGGCTGCCATGGGAAGGAGAGAGTGAGGATGACAGCAAAGAAGGGATGGGAGGCAAGAGAAGTGGCTTCTCCAAGCTGTGGGAGAACTTGTAGAGGGGAAGGAGGGACAGGGGCTAGAGCCAGAGGAGAGAGAAAGGGACACCCGATGGGGGGCAGCTCTGAGTTCGGGGAGGGGACTAGATGCAGAAAGCAGCAAGGATGTCAGCCCTGGTCACTAGAATGGTCGGGAAGGGGTCAGAAGAAGGGCGAGGATGGGGGCAGTTGGTTGGCTGTGGGGACAGATATGAGGAGTTGGAGGAGAGGACTGCCCCAGGCACTCCACTGTCTCCAGGAGTGAAGAGGCAGGACTAGGGGGCTGAGATAGGCTGGGGACTGCCAACAGAGGGGGTCCTCCTCTGCTCCCAGCTAAGCAGGACGGAGGTGGACTCAAGAGGGAACTGGGATGAAAGAACAAGGCATGCTGCAGCGCCACCCCGTGATCTAGAACGGGCAGGGGAGGAAAGAGCCAACTCCTTAGGAGCAATGGAGAGGAGCCATTGGGGCCATTTCAGGCTGACTGTGGCCCTAGGCACCTCCTCCCACAGATACTGCCTCCCACCCCAGTGTGCAGGCTTGCCGAGGGGGACCCTGGTCTAGCAGTGCAGGGGAGGCAGGCTAGGGAGAACCTGCTCCCTACCTTCTCAGCTCGCCTCTGTACCCACTTCCCCCCCCCCAAGACTGCATGTGTCCCTTGGAAGCCCTCCACCTTTCTGTTCTCCCCCATGATCATGATAAATGCCCAAACAATTTCACTTCCCAAAATATTTTAGCTCATTCCATTCAAGAAACATTATACACGGTAAGAAACATTTTTTTTTCTAATAAACCTTCATTACCTCTGGCTTATAACACAAAATCCCCGGTAATCACATATTTACCAACATGGTGATTCTTATAAGGAAAAGAAGGAAACAAAATGCTTCAGAGCTCATTGTCTAATGAAAAGAAGCATACAGATTCAGGAGAGAGAGATATTTCCTTAAGCCTGAGTTCAGAGTAATTCTACAGTGTATACGAAGACTGAAAAAGAATCCAAATTGCTTTCTTGGAATATATTTGGCAATGAGGATTTAATATAATATAAAGATTCAAAGTCTGGTATACACTCATTAATGATACTTCCACCTTCTTCACAATCAAGTATTTATGTTACTGTCTAAGGAAAGTTTATTAATAAACCAAAAGGAAATATGAAAGAAAGAAAAGTTCAGGACTTCTATTTCATTTTCAAGAAGCACCTAAGGCCTATTTGTGATATCAAAGGACCTTTGCCGATTGCAAATCCTACAACTACAGGAAAAGATATATTTGCAGAATTGTGTTCTCTTTAACCCAGCTACACTTAAGACACCATTTTCATCAAGCTTAACCATTTATATACTTTGTGGTAGATAAACGAGTTTTCTAGCACCAGAACTGCTTTAAAAGCAAGTGTTTCTAACCATGAACAAAGAACCAAATGTTAAATGGCTTTTGATTTTCAAATAAACCAACAGTGACACTCTGTGGACAAGACAAGAAACACTTAACCACCTATATTTCTTGATAAATTAATCTGTAAATCATCTTAAAATATTTTTTGGAGTAAGGCAGGGTATAAATAAGTAACCAAACAGTAAATAACCATTATATTTCTGAAAAATTATTCTAAGGATGAATTGTGGGCCATAAAAATAATTTTAACATAAACATACCAAGTAGTTATCTACTTCTTTGTTTCAAAATACATAATAAAAAATTAACTGAATTAGCCCAGCATTACAAACTTATTAGACAGCCAAAATTATATCAAATTATAATAGATATTAATAATTGTAAACACAATATTACCATCTTACCCTTGTATAGTGCTTCATGCTTTCCAAAGTGCTTTCAGATAATTATGTACAAAACCATGACACTGGGCAGATAATTAGCATTATCCCCAAAAATGAAAACATTGAGGCTGATAGAAGTTAAGAATTGCCTACACTACTTACGTGGCACTGATATCCACATCCTTATGTAGGTAAACAAATACATTTTCTGTTAAGCCAAATTATATATAGTTTAATAATCTATTTTATTCAACTTCAGAGATCAAAAAGCACAGGAGAATATAGTGGTAATGTAAAACAGTACGACCACTTAGAAAAACTGGCAATTTCTCATAAACTTTCAATTACCCCATTACCTAATACTTCCACTCCCAGGTATTTACCCAAATTAAATGTAAACATAGGTTCACAAAGAGACTGCCATAAGCGTTTTCATAGTCACTTTATTCCTAATAGCCCAAAATTGCAAACAACCCAAATGTCCATCAAAAGAATGGATAGGCCGGGTGCGGTGGCTCATGCCTATAATCCCAGGGCTTTGGGAAGCTGAGGCAGGCAGATCACCTGAGGTCAGGAGTTTAACACCAGCCTGGCCAACATGGTGAAACACCGTCTCTACTAAAAATACAAAAATTAGTCAAATGTGGTGGTGGGCGCCTGTAATTCCAACTAGTCAGGAAGCTGAGGTAGGAGAATTGCTTGAACCCGGGAGGTGGAGGTTGCAGTGAGCCGAGATGGTGTCACTGCACTCCAGCCTGGATGACATAGCAAGACTCTGTCTCAGAGGGAAAAAAAAAAAAAATGGGTAAGCAGATTATGAGTATTCATATGACAGAATACCACTCAGCAATGAACAGGAATGTAATATTAATACTATGAAACAAATCTCCAAAACATTATTCTAAGGAAAAAAGACTATGACCCAAAACAGTACATACCATACAATTCTATTTATGTGAAGTTCTAGAACAGGCAAAACTCATCTAGGATGGAAAAAAACATCAAAATGTATTTCCCCCAAAGTTAAGGGAGATGGGGACTTACTGGGAAGAGGTCCCAGGTCACTTTCTAGGGTGATGAAAATGTTCATTACCATCTTTTTTTTTTTTTTTTTTTTTTTTTTTTTGAGACAGAGTATTGTTCTGTCACCCAGGCTGGAGTGCAGTGGCACAATCTCGGCTCAATGCAACCTCCGCCTCCCAGGTTCAAGTGATTCTCCTGCCTCAGCCTCCCGAGTAGCTAGGATTTCAGGCATGCACCACCACGCCCAGCTAATTTTTTTGTATTTTTAGTAGAGATGGGGTTTCACCATGTTGACCAGGCTGGTCTCAAACTTCTGACCTCAGGGGATCTACCTGCCTTGGCCTCCCAAAGTGCTGAGATTACAGGCGTGAGCCACCACGCCCGGCCAAAATGTTTATTATCTTCATGGGGTGTAAGTATACACATTTTTCAAAACTCACTGATTTGTGCATTTGACTGCATGAAATTCAACTCCATTTCTTAAAAAGAAATACAGCAGAATGAAAAGAACAAAGAGAGATTTTCACTTTAATAAACAAACCATAATATCTACCTCTGGAGTAGATAATCTTCCTCTTTTTGGCAAATCCACTTCCTCTGAGTTGTAACTGTATCTTTTTAAATGTACTGGGCATTTGATCTGTGAAATGGTTTGGTCACCATGGGCTACTGCGAAGCAATGCATAAAAAAGTTATTTCATACACTACTCTCTTAATAACCTTAATACGGATATGTTCTCAGAATGCTAACTCAAATTGAATTGGACTTTGGGTTGAATTTTAGAGTGACAAAACAAGAATTCTTCCATGATCAATTTAGAGTAACTCTTTTAAAACTGAAGGGCTATATTACCCATGACTAGGAATAAGAATCAAATCAAATGCAATTGCAAACTGTGAAGTGACTGCTTAGTAACTTCAAGCCTACACAGTAAATGCTGTAAACAAATGAACAAGAGAATGCAAGGGCTAACTGCTTTTGTAAAGGAGCCCCAAAAGGCCCTTGACTAAGGAGACGGCATTGTGTACAAAATGTAAGCCAGGAATCTATTCTAGATCGGACCCCCACCACTATGTGGGCTGGGCAGACCACTAGAGACACCACCTCCTCATCTGCCAGGTTAACATCAGTTGAGATGATCTCTAAGGTCCATTTCAGCTTTCAAGTTAGGATTGCCTTATTAAAGTTTATATTCATCCTAAATAAATGGATGTGAAATGTAAGCCAAACAATCTAGAATTAGGAAGGTCTGGTTATGGCTCTGAGTCACTTAACTACGGAACTAGAAGAAGACATTGACCGCAACAGTATTGGATTATATCTTGTACTAGAGATTTGCTTTGAAAGCCTGCATCACAGTGACTGGGAGGGACACTTTAATGAAAGAGCTACTTCACTTAAACCTTCCTGAGCCAGGGCAGTAATGAGAGGCACAATTAAGGGATTCAGGTTTCATCTCTTTCCTGTTCCCTTTCATTCTATAGTGGAGATTCTAATGACCAAGGACCCAAAAGAGAGAAATCAAAAGGGGATAAAGAAAATGGGAGAACTCTCAAGTTAGATAAACACAGACTAAAGTTATATAGAAATATCAAGTTATAAAATACCTCCAGGCTGGACCCAGTGGCTCACACCTGTAATCCCAACATTTTAGGAGGCTGAGGCAGGATGATCATTTGAGCTCAAGAGTTGGAGACCAGCCTGGGCAACATGGCAAGATATCATCTCTAATAAAAATTTTTAAAAAATTAGCTGGCATGGTGGCATGCACCTGTCATCCCAGCTACTGGGAAGGCTGAGGTGGGAGAATTGCTTGAGCCCAAGAGGTTGAAGCTGCAGTAAGCTGTGATCGTGCCACTGCACTCCAGCCTGGGTGACAGAGTGATACCCTGTCTCAAAAAATATAATAATAATAATAAAAGATACAGTAAGATACCTCCAAATTGAGCTGTAACTTCAACCAAATTTTATTTTTTAAACTGTTTGAGTTTTTTCTGACTATAATACAGGCTATAAGTAATTAAATTCTGATGTATTCAAACAAAGGAACTACACAGCAATGAGAATAAACCAACTATTGGAGCACATAGCAAGAAGTAAAAAAAGCCAGACACAAGCCGGGTGTGGTGGCACGTGCCTATAGTTCCAGCTACACAGGAGCTGAGGCAGGAGGATCAATTGAGCCCAGGAGTTCAAGTACAGCATGGGCAACACGGCAGGACCCTGTTTCTGAAAAAAATGCCAGATATAAAAGAGAGTATAGCATATGATTCAATTGGTATAAAACTCAAAAACAGAAAAAAGTAATCAATGGTAGGAGAAGTCAGGATAGTGGTTACCTTACAAAGAAGAGTAGTGACTGAAAGGGGCTGGATAAGATTCTAGGGAGCTCATAACCTTATATTTCTTGTTATGGGTGCTGGTTATATGCATGTATTAGTTTGAAAATTATTTAAGCTGTATATTTATGATGTGTGCATATTTTGTATGTCATATAACTTCCATAAAAAGTTCACCTATGGCCGGGCGTGGTGGCTCATGCGTGTAATTCCAGCACTTTGGGAGGCTGAGGCGGGCGGATCACTTGAGGCCAGGAGTTCGAGACCAGCCTGGCCACAATGTAAAATCCCCTCTCTATTAAAAATACAAAAATTAGCTGGGTGTGGTGGTGCACGTCTGTAATCCCAGCTACTCGGGAGGCTGAGGCAGAAGAGTCGCTTGAGCCCAGGAGGCAGAGATTGCAGTGAGCCGAGATCACACCACTGCACCCCAACCTGGGCGACAGAGAGAGACTCCATCTCAAAAAAAAAAAAAAAAAAAAAGTTCACCTAAAAAATTCAGCTCATTATAAATAACTCAGAATCTAAATAAAAAGAGAAAGCAATCCATCAGCAATAAATATTGTAACCTTTAAATACATTTATTTATCTTACTCATATATTTTTTAAGCAATTTTGTGTGTCATTTATAATTTTTAAAATATTTTTAAATGCCTGCATGATATTCCATTTTATGGTTGTCCAGAGGTTCTGTTATCTGTTTTCCACTGTAGGACATTTATATGGCTTCTAATTTTTCACTATTTTGATATAATGATGTGTATACATTGAAAGGCAAACATTTATCATTTCAATCATTTGTAAGTATACAATTCAGTGGCATTAAATATATTCAGAGACTTGTATAACGATCATCACTATCTATACCCAAAATATTTCTATCATCTCCAACATATACTCTGTACCCATTACACTCCCCCTCACCTCAGTCCCTGGTAACCTCTATTCTACTTTCTGTCTCCATGATATCAGATGTTCTATAACACACTAAAGAAGCATCCTGCTAGCCCTGCTTATAGTTTTAAAACCAAAACAGATAAGTGATATCAAACTGCTTTTTTGGTATCAGATCAGGGAGCAAACCATAACCTGTGGACCAAATCCGCTTTGCCACCTGCTTTTGTATAGCTTATAAGCTAAGATGTTATGGAGTTTTTTTACATTTCTAAATTATGGGGGGGGGGAGAGAATATTTCCTGAAATGGAAAAATTATAGGAAATTCAAATTTCCATAAAGTTTTATTGAAACACAGCCACAACCATCCGTTTACATATCAGCTGCTTTCATGCTATAAAGGCAGAGTTAAATACTTAAAGCAGAGACCTTATGGCCTGTGAAGCCTAAAATATTTACTATCTGGCCCCTTACAGAAAAAATGTACCAGTCTCCAACATAAGCAATAACATTTCCATGTTTTGAAGAGAAGAAAATCCAATTCTCTAAGCAAAGGGTGAAGAATAAATTGTCATATAGCTAAGGAAGAAATATTCCAAGGAATTAACGTCTCATGACTCTCTGTACAAGTGAGGATGTGGAGGGTCTCACATTTCCTAGAGAGCCATTCAAAGGACTAGTGGCTATAGTAGTTCTGGTTGCAGGACTCCACTTTCCATGGGATTTTGGAGGCTAATGTAAATTTCAAATTCCAATTGTTTGTTGTTGGCATGTAGTACAGTGATTAACTTTTGTATATTAACCTGTTTCCTGCAACCTTGCTATAATCACTTATGACTTCCAGAAGATTTTTGTTGATTCTTTGAGACTTTCTACATAGATAATCATGCCACCTGCTCCATGGACTCTTGACTCAAGCTGTTATTCCTAGAAGTTCAGTTTTAGCTTTTTACTTTTGCATTGCCACCAAATTGTTATAATTATAGTTGCCAGATATAAATAATTGTTCAAAGAGAATATATTCTCCCCAATGCTTCCTGAGACTGTCTCACACAGAACAAAAGAGACATGGCAAAGGTTAAGTGAAGGGAAAACGCAAGCAGAAGTAAACATTGTGGTATTACCACGAAGCTAAGCCCTCTGGTCATAACTAATTATTGTAAAGGTTACAGGAATATTTAAGCAATTTACTGGAAATGGGGACCAGAGAGCAAAATTTTGCCAAAGAGGAAATTTAACAAAATTACCATATGACATTTGGAGTGGACGGTGATGGTCATCACTGCCGCCTGGAAAATTTGGTTGTGTGGCTGTGTCATCAGTGGGATTATCTGCTGTGTCATAAGTGGAATAATTTGCTATGTCATCAGTGGAATTATCTGCTGTTTCAGAATCTTCCACCATCTCAATACTGCACTCATTGTTATCATCACTGTCGTCAACAGTTACAATAACAAAATCTAAGAATAAGCAAAGAGAAAGATTAGATTCAATACCACATTAAATAAACAGTTTCTTGAGGAAGCTACCTTATAAAGTTATAGATTGTTTAAAAAACATATCTTAGCTGAAAATTTGTATTATGTATTTTTATATCTGTAATCATTACAAGTTAGCTAATGAACCCATAGTAGGAAGTTTTGAAGTATGTATATACATATGTATGCGTATACACACATAGACTACTATCTCTAGTACTTCCAATTTCGTAGAGCAATAAATTTCTTCTCATTTAAGAAATGTGGCCAGCTGGCCCATGCCACAGTGTTCAATGATATCCTTTTAACTTAAATGATGCAACTGGTGTTAAGTAGACATACTTGTGGTGACCATGATGTTCTAAACTTGTTCTCTAAAAACTAGTATTAGTGTCTATGATGACTGATAATGCAGAAATAAAGTGGAAAAGTAAATGTTGTTATGAAATGAATTAAATCTGAATCTCACAAAATGTGAAATAGGTAACCACAAATATACCAGATGTGAAATATCAACTTGGTAAACCATTTTAATGAACACGAAAACACATTATGCAAAATGTCTAAGATCAAAATAAGCTTTATTTCTTAAAGCTGGCCTGAAAAAGAACACATTTAAGCTTGAAGTATTTACTCAGAGATCACATTTAAACTACATCATAACTTGGATTTATTCTATTTATTTCAAAAAGACTAATGCAGGAGAATAAAATAATTAGCTAGTGTGAGGGGCATGTGATGATTGGAAAATGGTACTAAATTAGGAATCACAGAATGAATGTTCCAATTCAGGCTCTGTAATTATCCAGAGGTATGACCATTGGGCTAGATAAATTGACTCTTTTGCCTCTGTTTTCTCACCCATAAAAAGTGGGGTTTTTTTAAGAGTCACTCTGAAGTCTACTTAATAGTCTTCATGGAAAAAAAAAATATATGACATTAGAAACCACTTAACTATCTAAACCAAAGTATTAAATAAACAAAAGCTTAAATAAATTATGGTATTTCCCTGAGCTGGAATGGTATATTGCCAATAAGAAGTGTGTTCTCAGGTAGGGCGCGGTAGCGAATGCCTGTAATCCCAGTACTTTGGGAGGCCAAGTGGGGCAGATCGCTTGAGCTCAGAAGTTCGAGACCAACCTGGGCAACATGGCAAAATTCCGTCTCTACCAAAAAATAATAATGATAATAATAATACAAAAATTAGCCATGCGTGGTGGCATGCGCCTGTAGTCCCAGTTACTCGGGAGGCTGAGGTGGGATGGCTTGCACCCGGGAGGCTGAGGTTGCAGTGAGCCAGGATCCCACCACTGCACTCCAGCCTGGGCGACAAAACGAGACCTTGTCTCAAACAAAAAAGGAAGGAAGGAAGGAAGGAAGGAAGGAAGGAAGGAAGGAAGGAAG